ACTGCAGAAAGGGCATTTACAGGGCTGTTATCATGACCGGAAGTGACTAGATTTAGGCTTCTCTGGGTTACCGGATTAAAATACCTTTTCAAACAGATACAAACTGCCGGTTATTTGTATACTTGAGATTTCATTCAGAAGTGTTCTCACCTAGGCTTTCTGTTGTAATGATTGTGAAAGTGTTTAGTGTTCGAGTGAAAATATTTGGTAATGTCTGGGAAATCTCTGACCAAAGCAAGAAAGTGTGCATGTTTCTAGCTGTGCAGTGAGGCATATCAAATCTAGTAATTTAGATTGTGATACTTTTGTCAACATGAATGATGAATATTTTGTTTGTTTTTTTGTAAAATGTGATTCATAAGTAAAATATTTTAATATGGAAGAATCTCAGAGCAGCTTTCATTATCATCAGATGATACATGATGATCACTGTGTTTATTATCTATCTGACTTTGATGTGTGGAGCATGTGGCCTAACAGAATGTTTATCCCTCAAATCTGGGGATAGGTTCACACTCCAGCATGTTTGAACTTGGTTTGTGTAATCTACAGTAGAGTCGAGGCTTGACTCATGCATGTAATCTACATAAATGAGGTTAACTTGTTAAATGTATAATAGAGTTGGAGATTGTGTCATCAACAGCAGAGTTGACGCTTGTGTAATCTACAGTAGACTTGAGGCTTGGCTTGTGTAATCTACAGTAGACTTGAGGCTTGGCTTGTGTAATCTACAGTAGAGTTTAGGCTTGGCTTGTGTAATCTACAGAGCTGAGGCTTGGCTTATGTAATCTACAGTAGAGTTTACGCTTGTGTAATCTACAGCAGAATTGAAGCTTGGCTTATGTCTTCTACACTAGAGTTGATGCTTGTGTAATCTACAGTAGAGTTGTGGCTTGGCTTGTGTAATCTACAGTAGAATTGAAGCTTGGCTTATGTAATCTACACTAGAGTTGATGCATGTGTAATCTACAGTAGAGTTGTGGCTTGGCTTGTGTAATCCACAGTAGAATTGAAGCTTGGCTTGTGTAATCTACAGTAGAATTGAAGCTTGGCTTGTGTAATCTACAGTAGAATTGAGGCTTGGCTTGTGTAATCTTCAGTAGAGTTGACACTTGTGTAATCCACAGTAGAATTGAGGCTTGGCTTGTGTAATCTACAGTCGAGTTGACGCTTGGATGTGTAATCTACATAGTTGATGCTTGGCTTGTGTAATCTACTGTAGAGTTGTGGCTTGGCTTGTGTAATCAACAGTAGAATTGAGGCTTGGCTTGTGTAATCTACAGTAGAGTTGAGGCTTGGCTTGTGTAATCTACAGTAGAATTGAGGCTTGGCTTGTGTAATCTACAGTAGAGTTGCGGCTTGGCTTGTGTAATCTACAGTAGAATTGAGGCTTGGCTTGTGTAATCTACAGTAGAGTTGCGGCTTGGCTTGTGTAATCTACATAGTTGATGCTTGGCTTGTGTAATCTACATAGTTGATGCTTGGCTTGTGTAATCTACATAGTTGATGCTTGGCTTGTGTAATCTACATAGTTGATGCCTGGCTTGTGTAATCTACATAGTTGATGCTTGGCTTGTGTAATCTACATAGTTGATGCTTGGCTTGTGTAATCTACATAGTTGATGCTTGGCTTGTGAAATCTACATAGTTGATGCTTGGCTTGTGTAATCTACAGTAGAGTTGAAGAGGCTTGATTTGTGTAATCTATAGTAAAGCTGAAGCTTGTCTTGTGTAATCTACCTTTAGTTGAGACTCGGCTTATGTTATCAACAGTAGATTTGAGGCTTGCATTGTGTAATCTTATAGAAAATTAAGGTTTGGCTTGTGTAAAAGGAAAGTAAAGGACCCTTTTCCACACCTTCAGGCACAATGGGTATATAGGGCTAGACCTGTATTATTTAGACTAATCAGCACTTGGTGGGGGATGTGATCAGCATCACACCAATTGCCTTTACATCCAAGGACTTGATATCCACTCAAGGCTAGGTCCACTAGGGAGCTAAGGTAGTTAGTTTTCTTTTTAACTCCGGCTCCGCCAGCACCTGAACCCATAACCTTCTGATCCACAAGCAAGTGTCTAGCCACTACACCATGGCTGCTCTCGTGGTTTGTGTCATCTAGTATATTTGAAGCTTGTCTTGGTAATCTACAAATTCAGGCTTGTCTTGTGTAACCTATAATAGATCTTGGTAATCTACAGGGAATTCAGACTTGTCTTGTGTAACCTTATAATGGATCTTGGTAATCTACAGGGAATTCAGACTTGTCTTGTGTAACCTATAATAGATCTTGGTAATCTACAGGGAATTCAGACTTGTCTTGTGTAACCTATAATAGATCTTGGTAATCTACAGGGAATTCAGACTTGTCTTGTGTAACCTATAATAGATCTTGGTAATCTACAGGGAATTCAGACTTGTCTTGTGTAACCTATAATAGATCTTGGTAATCTACAGGGAATTCAGACTTGTCTTGTGTAACCTATAATGGATCTTGGTAATCTACAGGGAATTCAGGCTTGTCTTGTGTAACCTATAATAGATCTTGGTAATCTACAAATTCAGACTTGTCTTGTGTAACCTATAATAGATCTTGGTAATCTACAGGGAATTCAGACGTCTTGTGTAACCTATAATAGATCTTGGTAATCTACAGGGAATTCAGACTTGTCTTGTGTAACCTATAATAGATCTTGGTAATCTACAGGGAATTCAGACTTGTCTTGTGTAACCTATAATAGATCTTGGTAATCTACAGGGAATTCAGACTTGTCTTGTGTAACCTATAATAGATCTTGGTAATCTACAGGGAATTCAGACTTGTCTTGTGTAACCTATAATGGATCTTGGTAATCTACAGGGAATTCAGGCTTGTCTTGTGTAACTTATATCTTAATAGTTTACAGGGAAGCGAGGCGTGGCATATGTAATCCGCAGCAGATCTGCGTGTAGTATGTACAGCAGGTCTAAAATGATCTGTGGTGTGGGTTACTGAAGCTGAGGAACAGCTTCAGGTGTGCTAATCAGGTATTTTTTTTTTTCTGCCGGTACACAATAGTACTCTGTACCGACACCTTTTTTTTAGGCATCATTTTTTTCAGTGCCACTGCTGCTGCAGGTGACACTTTGTGGTGAGTACCAGCACCTGTCTGAATACCGGCACCCTTTTTTTTTAAATTTTCTATAGGAAAGCACTGGGGTTAACTTTAAGCTCCTGATACTTGTTGATGAATAACTTAATGGGAAGATAAGGCTGAGAAAAGAAGTGTAAGATAATTAAACATCTTCAGATCTGAGAGATAAATACATTAGCCATCCAATCCACATTTTTAACGAGTGTAGAGAAACTTTCCAGCTCTCCGCTTCTGTCTTGGTCACTGCTTGGAAATCATTCATTTTGCTTCATGAATGGCTTGTCTGTGCTGTTCCATATGTTAGCATACGGTGAACGGCAACCGTGTTGCTCTGGATGTAAACTCTAAAACGTCTAGTTTCTGTAGCTGTGCAGATTTTTTAGAACCGAATTGTAAACATGTTTTTCCAGATAATTTTGTAATAAATACATTTAAAAAAAAAAAAAAATCCACTATTTATTTTGCATTTAATATGTTACGTCCAATGTCTAGTTATGCTGGATATGTTACGTTGAGTATTCAATAATGTTGGATGTTATATCTATGTACAAGTTATGTGGGCTTGTTATGTCAAGTATCCAGTTACGTTGGATATTATGTCCAATGATACACTGAAGGTTTGTAGTTTGACATCCTACTGTTTATGCTATAAAGCTTTGCAGACAGGAGTTGGACGTAGTTTCCTGTCTTTTGCTAGTTGCGTAGCTTATGTTAATGACATACTGCATTTTTGTAGTGTCTTTTTGCGAGGGGGGGGGGGGGGGTGGTTGGCCTCTTGTCTTGTAGCCTGCTGTTCTCATGTAGTACACACTAGCTGGTGGCTGATTTAGTTCCAATCTGACCAGAAGACCAAACCATCTGATACTTTGAAATTCTAGTACATCATTCACCAGCAGTGTGCCTTCTAAGATTTTTAGTTCTTCATTGGTGACTTCTTGTTTTTCCTGCAGCATTTCTGATACATCTCATCTCACAGAAACATTAAGTGGATGAATTCAAGAAAGATGCAGAAATAAGAGAAATGTCTGGACAACTGCTTGTATCGCCTGTTATCAGACAAGAAGACAGTGCTGTACCATGAGGAGAAATGGACAAAGAATCACCAAACAGACACTGAAATGGGGAACAAGTGGACAGAGGGAGCACGGATGTCAAAGAGAAACCCTGAGATAAAAGTTGCTGAGAGGCAAAAGGCACCGATCTGGATTTTCCATCAATGATATTGAGAGAATTGTAAAGACAGAACAGACTGGAGAAACAGACTGTGAGCCTTTTGTGATGTATAATGGCAGAACAGAGTGACGATAATGTCACATATGACATCAGCTTGTTGACAAAGCTTAATGGTCCACCTGTCATTTATGTCATGATACCTAAAGCGTCAAATGACAACAACAAACTGCAGATTGTTAGATTATCCTGTATTCCAGCTCAGTCACACATATCTCTTGAGATCACTTTGTGTCTTGTTTTCTACAAGCTCTGTGCACTCTCTCTGTGTATCCCACTATCTACAATCACCTCAATTCCTCTCTCTTGCATCACACATTTACTCCTTGTGTTAAGGTTTTTTTTTTCTCTCTCATTCTCTCCTTTCTTCTTCATGTTTTCCTATTTATCTCTTATCATCTGTCCGTCCTCTCTTATCTCACTCCCTCCCATCATATATCGCCCCTCTTATTTTCTCTCCTAAACATTTGTTTTACTATCTGTCTCTCCTCTCTTGTTATATATCTCACCCCCCCCCCCTCCCCATTTTCGCTCAATTTCTCAATTCTCACTCTCTCTGCATGTGTATTTGCACACAAGCATCAACACATGCTTTCCTAGAAAAGCTGCCTGCGAGAAGTCAACATCCCCAGAAGGTTCAGAAGGACAAGTCAGCAGTTGTGTTGGAGGCACACCCAGAGCCTGAGCTGTTACACACACACACAAATAGCAACTGACACATAAATGGCCGCCAGAATGACATGTCCATATTTCACATCACAGTGTTTCTAGTCACCATGTGGAATTTCTTGTGACTGACGGACATACAGGTACGTGGGCTTTCAATTACATGTGTGTGTGTGAGCACATGTATGTATACACACAAACAAATATATCAATCAGCAGTTACCTGTAAAGAACGTCGCTCTCTTCATGGTATGCCTGGAAGTCTTTCTCTAGCCATTTCTCCAGCTCTATGTCTTTTAATAGCCAATGCATCTTCAGTCTTGTATTCAGAGGTCTGCCTCTGCCTCACTTTTTCACAAACTTCACCCTCCATCACCGTTCTCGCCAGACCACCGTGGAACTTGACACTGGAGAGTATGCTATTTACTAGCCAGTTCTCCTCAATGTTTAGTTCATGCAGGATATTGACGTTTTTTCTTTTTTCTTGGTCCACGATATTCTAACAATGTTTCTGTAGCATTTCAGTTTAAAAGCTCACATTTTCTTCTTCAATATCCATGAGTGTGTGGGTGTGTGTGTGTATATATATATATATATGTAATGACCCTGCTTTGCATGGTCCTCACGATAACATAGTGGCAAGCAGAAAGTCCGTGCAACAAGGGACAGCACGAGATACTTGTGCCTAGTCGAGGAAGGAGGGAAAGCCCGAGCTAGCCTCGTGGTCAGTTGATCATCAGAAGTCAGAGAAGACGGTAGCTTTTTCTTAGAGTAGTTTTAATATTGCGCGAGGTACAAGTGTTTGAACATGTTGCGTGCGAGAGAAGTAGAATTAATTGTGGAAACATGTGAAATAAATGGACCGGAATAAACTGACAGAATGTACAAAGAAGCTGAGCGGCGTTTGTGTTGTCAACCCTAGACGTTAAAGCAGTGCAAGTTTTGTAGCAGTAAACATCCAGAGAGTGAGCCGTGGCGAAAGCCAATAGGTAGTAAGCCAAAGTGCAATCCAAGTCAAGCCAAGGTTTATTACAATATATATATATATATTTAGTTTTATCATCTCTCATTAAGCCTGGGAGTCACTGTGGTGTTGCGGCTAGACTCTCGCGTGAGGATCAGAAGGTAATAAGTTCAGGTCCTGACTGACAAAACCAGGCTTTTTTTTTTTTAAATGACCTTGAGTGGGTACCAGGTGCAGTCCTGTGAAGTAAAGGCGGCCGGCATGATGTTGCCCATATCACCCACCAAGTGCTGATTGGTCTATAAAGTACAGGTCTAGCCCTAAGTGCCCCACCTGAAGGCGTGGAGAAGGGTCCTGTACCCTTGACTATCTTTTGTTAAGCCAGCCACCTGTTTGTATCCCTCTATTATAAGCAAACAAATAAGAATAACATTACATTAGTGTCAGTATCTAAAAGGTACCTCAATTGTAAATTTCTTTCTCCTCAGTTTGAAAGCTAGGTCTGAAGTTTCTGGTTGTGCTGGCACCAGGGAGTTGAGACGTGGTAGTTGTAGAAGATGAAGGAGACCTGAAAATGTTACAAATGTACATTACCAACAAAAGCTGGTTTTACAAATATAACAGCAAAACTGTAATAGTGGCTTTCGAAAATTTAGAAAAAAGAGGACTAATGCTGGATGACAAATTTAAAAAAAAAAAATTCTAAATGAGAACAATTATGTATGTTTAAGAGAAAAAAGTCGTCAGAACTTTAATATTAGCTGTTCAGTAATGAAATATGAAAATGCTGACCAAAGACACAACACAGCAAGAACAGAAAGATAATGTTGATTAAAAAATTAAGGACAGCATACAACTTGATTGAAGAAGAAAACAATTGAGTGAAATAAAGTAAAGGGCCCTTTACCTCGCCTTTAGGTGCTGAGGTATTTAATGCTACAACTCTATTTTATCATCATCATGTAGCAGGTCCTTTGCAGAACGCCGCTCTCATCACTGTCTGTCTGAAAGAAACTCGGTCTCTCGCCAGTTCCCCCGCCTCATGTACTTTCATACTCACGGAGTCACTTATATCCTGTACCCATCTTCATGTTGGTCAGCCCCTGCCCCTCCTTTCTAGTACCATGCCTTCTGCTATAATTTTTTTTTATTCATCGTGGTGCTTCATATGACCAAAATATTTCAGCTTCCGAGGTTGTTAAAATGTCTTAATGCTTTAACAAATCAAAAGTGCAATTACATTTGGTTGAACAAGTCAAAAACAGAAGAGTTAAAAAAAAACTGTAGAAAAACAAGAATAGAACAATCAAATGTAGAAAATCAAGAACAAGGTAAACCCCTGTCTCTCTCTCACTATATGTGTGTGGTGTGGCTGTGTGTTTGTGCGGCGGTGTGGGAGTGTGGTGTGTAGGTGTGTTTGTGTGTGTGGTATGCGCAGTGTTACATAATGGCATCTCTCAGGTTTCCTCGCCCTCCAATAATGGCTTAGTGGTAATGATCTCTTCTTTTAAGTTTTGCTTGATGTCAACAAACAGTTTGTGTGGTCTTGTTTTATGATAGCAAAGGGGGAAACGACACACTCTCATGAATACACGCACACACTCTCATGAATACACGCACACTCTCATGAATACACGCACACTCTCATGAATACACACACACACACTCTCATAAATACACACACACACACTCTCATGAATACACGCACACACTCTCATGAATACACACACACACTCTCATGAATACACGCACACACTCTCATGAATACATGCACACACTCTCATGAATACACGCACACACTCTCATGAATACATGCACACACTCTCATGAATACATGGACACTCTCATGAATACATGGACACTCTCATGAATACATGGACACTCTCATGAATACATGCACACACTCTCATGAATACATGCACACACTCTCATGAATACATGGACACTCTCATGAATACATGGACACTCTCATGAATACATGCACACACTCTCATGAATACATGCACACTCTCATAAATACATGCACAACTTTCATGAATACATGCACACTCTCATAAATACATGCACAACTCTCATGAATACATGCACACACTCTCATGAATACACACACACACACTCTCATACATAAACGCACACTCTCATGAATACACACACACACACTCTTATAAATACACGCATAAACTCTCATGAATACATGCACACACTCATAAATACGCGCACACTCTCATGAATACACACATACACTCTCATGAATACATGCACACACTCTCAAGAATACACGCACACTCTTATGAATACATGCACATACTCTCACGAATACATGCACACACTCATAAATACTTGCACACTCTCATGAATACAAACATACACTCTCATAAATACCCGCACACACTCTCATGATTACATGCACACACACTCATGAATACATGCACACACTCTCATGAATACATGCACACCCATCCAAGCCAGTTATTTCACAAAGGACTGACAGTTGGACTACTTTTTAACCACCAAGCCACTCCGTGATAGACAGACAGCAGAGAAACTATGCAACAGATCCCTAAAGAGAAGACCACAGAAGGCTTACCATGATACTCTTTAAACACGGCATTCTTTTCCTTGTCAGAGCCAGCAAAACTGTCCAGTCGGATCACTGTGTCTGCCAGCCGTTGTACTCGGTGTATAAATACCCTCTCCTGTGTGAGAAGAGGTACAGAGGATATTGTGTCTTAGATGCTGAGACTTGGAACTACTGTCAGCACAGTTCAGTCTGAAGTGGGTGGCAAACACTTAAATAATCATCACTTGAAATTAACTTATATGAAAACTTCTTCAGAGAAGAGATCAATCAAATTTAAAAAAAAACTAGAAACACTAATTCAAACAAATGTGTGGAAACTTATTCTTTCACACAAAATTATTTCACACACAAAAAAAGTGAAAACTTATTTACCACACATGCAAAGAAAATTATATGGGGGGTGGGGAGGGGGGACCAAACAAACAATTGGTCGACAGTCATCAATTTTTAAGAAACACTTGGAACCAATCATTAATTCAAACCTATGTGGACACTTATTCTTTTACATAAGACATAAAAATTTATTCACACAAAAAAGTGTGAAATATTTACCACACATAAAAAGAAAAAAAGATACAGAGAAAAAAAGAAAAAAAAAAGCCGTGAAAAGTTAGTAATTATATAGATTACACAGAAACACCTAAAAATAATAATTCAAATAAAAGTGGAAACTTATTCTTTCATTCTTATTCTTTTACATAAGATAGAGGAACACACACAAAAAGTATGCACATTTTTAAATACAGATACAAAGAAACGATATGGAAATGTTACCACAGAAAGTGAAAATGTATTCATTTATTCACAAACACCCAAATAGTGACTTCAACACACTCAAAAGGCTGAAATCTTCCAAACAAACAAGATATGGAACTATATTCAGTGACACATATACAAACAATCAAATTATGAAAGCCTATTGTCAGACAAACAGTATATTCAAAACCTAATGTCTTAACAAACCAGCAAGGTGTATTTATTCACAATCAAATTATGGAACCTATAGTCAGACAAACAATATATACAAACCTAATGTTTTTTAAACAGAAAATATGTCAACATTATTGTTTTCCTTGGTGTTCACGCTTTAAAGATGGCTGGCAAGTTGTGTTGCAGTTTACAGCTAGGCTGCAATATCTCAATCTGTGTATCCAACATTTCAACAAAACCCTGTTCAGTTGCCTGTGGGTCTACCCCCACCTTCCCTTCAATGAGGCCCCTGAACCCACTAGGATTCACAACCAAAGGAGAAAAAAACTAATGACTTTAAATTTATCACCTCTGCCAGAAACTGTAAAAACATACTGACTGACACACACAAGAAAAGACAACAGGCTGACTGCCACACTCAAGAAGAGACAACTGGCTGACTGGCACACACAAGAAGATACAACTGGCTGACTGGCACACACAAGAAGAGACAACTGGCACACACAAGAAGAGACAACTGGCTGACTGGCACACACAAGAAGAGACAACTGGCTGACTGGTACACACAAGAAGAGACAACTGGCACACACAAGAAGAGACAACTGGCTGACTGGCACACACAAGAAGAGACAACTGGCACACACAAGAAGAGACAACTGGCTGACTGGCACACACAAGAAGAGACAACTGGCTGACTGGCACGCACAAGAAGAGACAACAGGCTGACTGCCACACTCAAGAAGAGACAACTGGCTGACTGGCACACACAAGAATATACAACTTCCTGACTGGCACACACAAGAAGATACAACTGGCTGACTGGCACACACAAGAAGATACAACTGGCTGACTGGCACACACAAGAAGAGACAACTGGCACACACAAGAAGAGACAACTGGCACACACAAGAAGAGACAACTGGCACACACAAGAAGAGACAACTGACACACACAAGAAGCAACAACTGGCTTGACTCACACTGAACAGATGTGTAGGCATGGTGATCATGGCTGTAGCAAAAGCTGTTCTCAGGACTCCTCTCAAAGCTAACAGAAACAAAGGAAGTGAAGGGTCTAGGTTTTCACCTTTACTGCATGCTCCGCCATTCTCTCCCCACAGTGGGGAACCAAGAGAATGAATACCTGAATGAACAGAAATATACACATTCACACGTAGATGAATTTCTTAGCAATATTTGTTTCAGAACCACCTTGCCACCCCACCTGTGTGTATTTTTCCTTCCAGACGGTTGTTATCCTTCTCCTTCTTTTAGCCCCTGCTGTGTGGCATCAACATGTCTACTCACAACCTTCTGTCTCATGTACATTCAATCAGTTATTGCACATAAGATCTTAATTGTCCTGATGTCAAACTGTCCAGCATCTTCTCTCTCAGACTTCCGCTGTTTCCCTCTAACTTTCCCACCATCCTGATGTATTGCGGTGTTCTCTTTCTCAGGGTGTGACCACAGAACAAAGATGGGATCTTTCTAATGGAGGTAATCAGTTCTCTGCACGCGTTCACCTCTTTCAGCCATCTTCATTGCTCTCATTATCTGTGCACAGTGTTCACATCATTTGTCTATCAAACTACATCTCTGCAGTCATTATCCAGTCTAGTTACTTCCTAAATTCTCTTTAACCAACCTAACTGGTTATTCTTCAGGTTCACCGGCTGTAAACTCTGGTGGAAAGTTCTGGTTGTCCGTCCGCTTCTGGACTCTAATCCTGTTCCAGAACCTGAGTGTTGCGAGCACATCAGTTTTACAGATCTGACTCATTTGTATGTAGACTCTTTGATTCCTTGCCTCTCAGGCAGATGCATTCCAACTTAGAAAAAAGCCCTCCTTTAGTCAACTCTTAGGACATGCTTTAGGGTGGGCAGTGGGTCTTGTTTTCCCAGCAATGGGGCCTTGGAACCCACACAATGATGTCTAGTATTGAGGCTGGCCGTGCTAAAGCCATTACTTAGTTAGTCGAGGTTTCAACATCATCGCAACTAAGTTGCCCCATAACCGCACCTTTTCTGTGCCAGTGCGAATCAAATAAAAAGTCCCTCACTGTTGCATTTGAAAAACTGGTGAATAAACAACTAGTTCCAGAACAATCCAGAAATACGTGCACGCAGTCAATGCTTATTTCAGTTGCTCGAGGCGGCAAAGCCAACAATCGGCACCAGAAATGCAGTTTGTCGTTGATGGAAGTAGTCGAGCATGATAAGCTGGTTACTATACACACACTTAGAATTCTTCTTCTTCTTTCGTTCGCATGAAATAAATTATCTATATCTGCAATGCTGTCTCTAGTATGAATTTCACTGTCTTTTGTAATTCACTAAGCGGCCCGTAAAGTTTGACTTCCACAAGTGTCTCTTTTGGCCAGAAGTTTTGCCTGGAAGCGTTGAATCTGGGACAGTCTTGGAGGATATGATCTGTTGTCTCAGGTGCCAGTTCACAGGTACACATGGCTGATTGGCCAATCTTAAATTTGTTGTACATGTGGCAGCGAAGTCAATTGTGCCCTGTTCTAAGGTGAAGGATAAAGACTTGCTTTGGTCTGTCCATAATATGGTAATTGTCTTGTGCCAGTTTTGGTGTCATTCTGATTGATTTGATCATTCTCTTCTTCTGTTGATAAGAGACTGGTATGTCGGGTTGTTCTTCAGTTTCACCTTCCTTAGCTAGTTTATCAGCTCTTTCGTTTCCGGGAACTCCACAGTGGGAAGGTATCCACTGCATTACTAATTTACAACGGTTACCTAGTTCGGATAATAGTGTCCGTATGCTTGGTAATTTTCCAGACTGGAGTGCCTGAAGTACCGCTTTTGCATCTGTCAGGAATACCACTGGTTGTGAAAAATACCCTGTATTTAGTAGTTTCTCTGCCGCTATCTTGATGGCTTGAACTTCTGCATCATAGTTGTGACAGTGCTTTCCTGTTGGTATTTTGGCTGCATCCCTGGTATTATTAGGATACTCAATGTACACTCATGCACCTCCGTTTCTGACTGCACTTTCTGCTGACCCATCTGTGTAAACACGGACCCAAAGATTCTGTGGGTATTCATCAAGTAGACTGAGGGTGGCTGTTTTGCGCTGCACACTGTTTTGTTCTTCTTTGTAAAATACTCCTTTCACTTCTGTCTTGATGTGTATTGAAAACTTATACTCCTCTCTCCAGGGGTCCGTTCTGGGAGAGCATTTAAGGATCTATCAGTTGCAGGCAAATCAGTGGTTTGTCTGTAGAGCCGTTTGGCCTGGTGGATGAAACTACTTTTAAGTCGTCCCAAAGCTAGATTTTGGAATCTTTCATTCATAGGGTGACTGGGCATACTAAGAAACTTTTCTGCTTGTAAAAGCATCTTGGTGTCTCTGCGTTCACTCAGTGCTTGGGTCATCCCCATTTTCTCCATCACAGCTATAGGTGTTGATTTCATACTGCCTGTGTGATACGTGCGGTCCTTCATTGTGACGTGCAGAGCTTCATGCTGATGTGTGTGGTACCAAGATGAAATAGGCCAAGTAGGGGTAAAACAGTAGTTACTTCAATGCTTTCAAAATGTAGAGCTCGAACGCTATGCGTTAAGTTCCAACGGTTGTATTGATATATACAATCAGCAATGATTAACACAAAGGATACATATGCAAGTAATAATCAACTCGTTCAACCAAAGCTCGCTCGTACATCCATGTAATGATATGTCCTCACGATAGGTCGCAGTCCGACCTTGAGATCCAGACGATTTACTTTCTCCTCGGACAAGTCCGAATTAAGCAATGAAAGTATACCGGCTTACTGCCGAGAATGTAGTATTAACCAGCTTCCTGCTGAGGTCTATCTTGGAATCCCGGGGTAAAACGTCCTCAAGGATCCAACTTTATATAACGTTTGCTTCCGTGGGATCCCGGGGTGAAGCGTCCTCAGGGATTCCCACGTCCGTCTCCTTCGGACTATAAACATCAACTGCTTTGACAACAATATTATCATAACAACGTTACGTATTGTTTTGACGTCTTATTTGCTCACTCCGTACTGGTGCGTTCTGGTGCACATTCGCACGCGACACTGTGGTACTTAGAATTCTTACATAAGGTATTTCACCAGCTTACACGTAAACTGGCCAACGGCCATATTTAACAAAACGACACAACAGCTGGGCATATGAAAGGCATTCCATAGGAAAAACACAGCTCACAGGGCTGCAACCAAGCACTAAACTCAGTAGCTCAAGCTACCGTCCTTATGTGGAAAATGCATTAGCAAAGCACTGTCGGAAGCAAAAATACTTTCAAAGCCTAACATTCTGCCAAGCCTTCCCTCCATTTCGGCCGGAAGTCCAAAGCCATTACTTCTGATCATGCATTCCATAAACACTTTTTTAAAATTCTACTGCCATGACTACATACTTACCAAAGTGCTGATGAACACACGGTTCTACAAATGAATGTACATACTAGTTACTGACCTATACGGAGGACTGACCGTTTGTCCACTTCTTGTCCAGTACCAAAACATCCTGCCTCAATCTTGTTTTTGATTTCCTGAAGCAATTGGCAGTAGTGTGGGTTCATGCCTGGAACCAATGGGCTGGGGAAAACAGATGTGTGGGCTGGGTTAATTAGATGTTTTTGCATGCATTTTTTCAATAAAGAAGAAGTACTGGCCTTCTAAATTAAATGCCAGTCAAGTAAGTCAGTGAAAGGACCTTGTTTATACCCATGACACATCGGTCATATGATGTTTTTATACACCAATCAATAAGTCCTTTGTACTGGATGTGGTCAACATCAGCTGGCTGCCTTTACTTTCCAAGACTTGACCTGGTACACATTTTGAGATGCGGAAGTCAAGTCCATTTTTGAAAGAAATCTACCTCAATGTGGATCCAAACCCAAGACCTTTGGACCAGCAGGCAAACATCCAGCCAAAACACTAAAGTGGCTCCTAAATCAGACACTAGCAGATATATTAATGAATGGATGCTAGACACTTGTGTCAAACTGTTGCTGGATACACAGCTAACACACGATGCAGTACAACTTCTGTCAAACTGTAGCTGTATACACAGCTAATACACCTACCCCATGATGCAGTGCCACTTCTGTCAAACCGTAGCTAAATACACAGCTAACACACCTACCACATGATGCAGTGCCACTTCTGTCAAAACGTAGCTGTATACACAGCTAACACACCTACCAGATGATGCAGTGCCACTTCTGTCAAACCGTAGCTGGATACACAGATAACACACCTACCACATGATGCAGTGCCACTTCTGTCAAAACGTAGCTGTATACACAGCTAATACACCTACCACATGATGCAGTGCCACTTCCGTCAAACTATAGCTGGATACACAGATAACACACGTAGAACATGATGCAGTGCCAATTCTGTCAAACCGTAGCTGGATACACAGCTAACACATGATGTAGTGCCAATTCTGTCAAACCGTAGCTGGATACACAGCTAACACACCTACCACATGATGCAGTGCCAATTCTGTCACACTGTAGCTGTATACACAGCTAACACAGCTACCACATGATGCAGTGCCAATTCTGTCAAACCGTAGCTGGATACACAGCTACCACATGAAGTGCCAATGAAAGTTTGTAGTTGTTCTTCTTCTCTAGTCCTGTATGGCCTTTCAGTGTCAAGTTTTTGAGATGCATCAGGTGACAGCCTCAGTATGTAATCATATCTGCAGCCTCAGCTATTCCATCTATTGCTTGCTATGGCAGATGTGGTCAAGGCCCTTTGGGAACAAGCAACAGAATCAGTGAAGAATGAGGCATCTGGGTGTAACCAGAGGGTCTGGCCAGCTCACTACACTCAGAGGAAAGGCAAGACGGACAGATAAACAGATTGTGACCGGTACCATCAGTATTGGAACTCTGCGCTGGCTGCTGAAGATGAGGACATAGCATGCATGGGAATGCCCTGAGTGCTTGATGCCAATTCTTGACTCTACTCACATGCGTGTGCTTGTCTAAGTGACAGGGCTCTCTGCGCCGCACTGTCTTTTGGTAGTCTGACACATGTCCAAACCATCTGATCTCTTGTCTCTTGATGTAGCCTTATACAGGTTCCATCCCAAAATCTTTATTTAATGTCTTAATCCTTTAGCCCTTGAGAAACTAAACCTAATCCACCTTTTCACTGCCACAAACCCAGGGCAGCCAGTATGTTTGCAGCATACATATGTACATTTGTATTATAAACACCTAATCAGGGCAACACATATGGCCAAGAATAACAGCTTAAAATCAATGTTTAACAGCAAGCTGAGATAAGGAAATGAGGATCATCTACCTGGGATTAGAAACTAACCAGTTTAGATCCAAATAACAACATGAAATATCCGTCAACAATATGATATGAAAAGTCACTTACTTACACAACACTCATCTGTCCGACTTCCACAGGAGACCCGTATGTTATATCCGACCTATCAACTATATCCGCATTCATGGTTTTAGTCAGGTCATAATAGTGGCCAAACTGTGTACCTGCCGATGGGACCACCTAAATTGCAAAAATCAAAGCTATATGTTTACCTTCTAACCAGACTGAGAACCTACAGGACAGAAGATAGAAACTCAAGTCAAATGATGCAGTAAAACTGAACAATGTGTGCCTTTCGTCAACAGAGGCAAGTCAAATGATGCAGTAAAACTGAACAATGTCTGCCTTTCCTCGACAGAGGCAACTTCAGCATGGCAATTTTTTGCCTTTTTTTTTTTTTTTTTGGTAGCAAGTATGGTCCCGTTTGTCTGCCCCATACTATTCAAACTACTATACTGACCTAGTCTTCTCTCAATAATATATTGTCATAAAATAATCAGATTACATCTACAATTTCTACAGCTATAGCTAGAACTCAACATTGTTGTTTGTCCTGTCCACTAAGAAATTCAGAGAAAATTCAACTCAAGAGTGTACTTAGTCACCAATGTTGTGAGCGCATATTTTCCTAAACAATGTTCTGAATGTTACATCATTCTGCCCCATGAACAACTTTTTTTTTTTTATTTCTGTAAAAAAAAAAAAAAAGAATTACATTGTTATCATTTTCTGAAACCGTACCCTAAGAAACTATAGGAAAAGAAGCAGAAAAAGAAGAAATTAGGAGTCTTGGTCAGTTTGTATTCAATCGGGTGGGCTAAAACCTAGGAACACCAAGCAGACAGACAAGCCTGCTACATATTTACCTCATCATGGCCCCCGAGTTACTAAACAGATTTGTCAGATTCAGTCACTGTTGTGAGGAAAGGCGATTGTTTTTTTTGTTTTTTTGTTATGAAGGGAAGTCATCATCAGCAAACACAAAAGGAGCAAAGCAATAACTGCTTTGCTTCCCTTTGACAAAGAAAACAGGGGCTTGTTGACACAGCCACAGAGAGCAAATGGACATCACCAAAAGTTTATTATGATGGCACAAAGACAACAGCAACAACAAAAATGTTTTCCTCACCCCAAGTAATATCTCAAAAAAAAAAAAAATTGTAATACAGTCATACCCTTCACATCTACACACCATGCAGTGGCAACCAGTACCAAGGCAGTTATATAAGCTTATTATTAGCCCAAAGATATCATGCCATCAAATCGCCATACAAGTCAGAAAATTCAGATTTCTTAGGGCGACAGGGTTAAGGCATAAACCATGAGGGTTTATAATATTTTTTTTTAAAGAACAATTATAAACCTTAACAGAAAAACAGTAACATCAATTATAAATATCTGAACAGATATTTTTAAAAAAGTTCTTTAACTATGGATACGTGTACAAATTACTCACTACACCTGACCTGAACTTTTGGACTGTTCTGATATCGCCAAGCAATTTTCATTTTTTCATCTGTGCTTGTTGCAGTCTGAAATCAAATACATAAGTTTATCAGTTCAAACTATTAATTTATCTGTCCCTCTTGAGAGGAACAGGTCACAGACATCTCTCCAGGTACTTTCTCAGCTCATCAACCAGCAGCAGTGGCTAACATTAACTTACTTTATGCAATTAAAAAAACAAAAAAATATACATAAACGAAAAAAAACATCAACATTATAATACAATTGTCTCTCAGAGTGACAACAGAAGCTGAAACTAAAAACATGTCCGATATTCTGCTTTTCATCTTCTAATGGTGCAAAGCCCCCCCCCCCCACTTCTAATGGTGCAAAGCCCCCCCCCCCCCCCCCCCCCAACCATATCAAGCCGTTCATCAATGGTCTATCCTGTGAAAACCCTTCTTAGATGTCTCTTACAAAATGCACTAGTACACTACTGTGTTACTTTTTGACCGTATTCTTGTGTTTTCAAGTAACATTCCAGTGACTAACAGACCCCAAGGAGGGGGAAAAGTGTCTCAGTCTCTCCCATGGGCGATGTTGCATGTAGCACCCTCTCAACCAAGTACTGCCTCATGGGGATACCATCTTCTCTTGTGTAATGACAGTCAGTCACACAGGATCCACCACAAAGATGACCACAGGGTAACAGCTAATGAGGGTTATTCACTGGTACTCACTGGACCCCATGTTCTTAAAGTCCAAACCACAAACACAAAAGTCGGGAACCTGTGAGTATGAGTTATCACTAACAGCAAGCAATCTCTGACAGACCCAGGGTTAAACCAGGAAGCACTCAGCATTATAACTTCTTCTAATGCTGAGGCTGAAGCACTGGCAACCACCACTCTCTAATCCTTTCTATTATCTAATAATTTGCTTCTTTTCCATGTGCATGATGTAAATGCACTGTGCCTGTTTACAGCATGGCTGTGATATTTGTGCCTTTTAGCCGATGTCTTCTGACCTGTGTTATCTGGGTTAGCCCTCCCCGATCTCATAACCTGATACACTTGCTAGTGCTTCCAGTGGGAAGTCAGCAGAAGATCTTGATGGTTCAACACACAGTGGAAAATAAGGTGTCTATTAAATCAGGTCACAACTGGCACCAGCAATATGGGACCTTTAGCTGAGTACTGGAAAAGGGAAGAAAACTCATAAGGTGTGCAATGACATCTTGGTTCATTCATTCAGCCAGTCTATATACATCTAACAAAAAAAATACAACAGAAACTAGACTTGTGTACTGATGTAACTAGAACAAGGATTGAGAAGAAAAGAAGGCTTACAGAGCTGGGATCACCTGTCACTTGTTTACTGGTAGGAGGATGACCTACACTGGGGACTGGTGAGGAGGTCATCTTTGTAGCAGCTTGAGAATACACTTCATCTACAGCAGCTGGTAACTCCTAAAGCAGATTTCATCAAACATATTTATTATACATTCACAGCTCCATAAATGTATGAAGCTATTCAAATCCACATTATTTATCTGCCTATTCACATTAAGATACAGCCTATGGAAATTAAAATACATTTATCGGCATACTGACATATATATATATATATATATATATATATATATATATCTCTCACTAGTTCCAACTGCTACTAATGGTGAACACTGCTGATTTCAGAATATGACTCTTGTATGATATGAGGAACTAAGGACCAGTTATAGCTACAATACAATGGCTTCAACATTCTGAAGAGCTACAATCTTTCTTAAAGCCTCTAAGCAACACCTTAATCAAGATAGAGACCATTATTCACTCTCCCCCACATCTTTGGCCAATATAAACAGGACATTACAAAATATCACCCCAGTCCAACTTCCAGGATAACAACTGCCAATGTCTGCATGGTGCAACAGTCTGCCAGGCAACAGTGGCTGCACTGGCAGTGAGATGGAGGCATGGCAGTGAGATGGAGGCATGGCAGTGAGATGGAGGCATGGCAGTGAGATGGAGGCATGGCAGTGAGATGGAGGCATGGCAGTGAGATGGAGGCATGGCAGTGAGATGGAGGCATGGCAGTGAGATGGAGGCAGACTAGAAAGACATGTGTGCCAAATCCCACCTCAGCTGCCACGTCCATGTGTTGTCAGCACTGCTCAATAACATTCTATGCTGAAATGGACTGATCAGTCATCATCTTTTTATTTTCATCACTGACCATTATTACTATTTGTGGATGCTAAATGGTCTTAGTCATTTGTGATGGATGAACAAAACAACACATACCTCCATTTAAGTACTATTCTCACACACAACACTTGCACCTACTTGACACTAGCACCCACTTGACCCAGGACATGCTTCTCAATATCATGGGAACAGAGGACCATCACCACCCACTTGACACAGGACATGCTTCTCAATACCATGGGGACAGAGGACCATCACCACCCACTTGACCCAGGACATGCTTCTCAATACCATGGGGACAGAGGACCATCACCACCCACTTGACCCAGGACATGCTTCTCAATACCATGGGGACAGAGGACCATTACCACCCACTTGACACAGGACATGCTTCTCAATACCATGGGGACAGAGGACCATCACCAACCACTTCACCCAGGACATGCTTCTCAATACCATGGGGACAGAGGACCATCACCACCCACTTGACCCAGGACATGCTTCTCAATACCATGGGGACAGAGGACAATAACCACCTACTTGACCCAGGACATGCTTCCCAAAACCATGGGGAAAGAGGACATTAACCACCTACTTGACCCAGGACACGCTTCTCAATACCATGGGGACAGAGGATCATCACCACCCACTTGACACAGGACATGCTTCCCAATACCATGGGGACAGAGGACCATCACCACCCACTTGACCCAGGACATGCTTCCCAAAACCATGGGGACAGAGGACATTAACCATCTACTTGACCCAGGACACGCTTCCCAAAACCATGGGGACAGAGGATCATCACCACCCACTTGACACAGGACATGCTTCCCAATACCATGGGGACAGAGGACCATCACCACCCACTTGACCCAGGACATGCTTCCCAAAACCATGGGGACAGAGGACCATCACCACCCACTTGACCCAGGACATGCTTCCCAAAACCATGGGGACAGAGGACCATCACCACCCACTTGACCCAGGACATGCTTCCCAATACCATGGGGACAGAGGACCATCACCACCCACTTGACCCAGGACATGCTTCTCAATACCATGGGGACAGAGGACCATCACCACCCACTTGACCCAGGACATGCTTCCCAATACCATGGGGACAGAGGACAATAACCACCTACCCAGGACATGCTTCCCAAAACCATGGGGACAGAGGACCATCCCCACCCACTTGACACGTCCCAATACCATGGGGACAGAGGACCATCCCCACCCACTTGACACGTCCCAATACCATGGGGACAGAGGACCATCCCCACCCACTGCTCGGTGACAAGGCTTCATGATGCCTTACCTTGACAAGCTGCCGCACACTTCCATCAGCACTACACAGAAACACTGACTGTTTGGTCATCACCGCTTCAGCCACATAGTATTTCAGCATCAGTTTGGCGTAACTCCCATAAGTGTCTTCCTCTGTAAACAATACTCAAAATTTAACTTATGAAATTCTTTTACAAAACCGCCAATCACTCCCAGCATCATGATGTTCCCCTATACAAATGTCCCCATCATACCATCAAAGAACACTTCTTATAGCTGCACATCATTGTATATTTCCATTAGCTTTTCCTAGGCTTAGTTAGTCAAGCAGTTATCTGTAACAAGTGACTGAGAAACAACACTGACACTGTCTCTTCTGAACTTGCTTGTTCACATACCAAAATTCACTGCCATAAATCAAAACAGGTTTCACATAATATTTCAGTCCTCACTGAGCTACATAAAAGCAATGTATCAAGATGGCTAATCTAAGGGGGAGACAAAGTTTTAACATAAATGTTGACTGACATCTAATAGTAAAAAAACTGGACACTAACTCCACACAAAAGTTACTTATGTATCCTCTACAGGACGTTGAAGAACCAACTCGAGCATTTTTGGCTGTTGCGGTTTTTCCTAGGCAAATGTTACATTGCTTTTGAACAGTTGGCTCTTAATACCACTCTCATAGCCAACGCAAGGTAAAAAACCTCCTGCAGCTGGGATCCAACCTGGCAACACAAAGCACATTCGCAATGCCTAGGCCACAGACACCGATGTACAGCTGCCACATAAGATACACCAGTAATTCACATTATCACAACTGATGTCCCTGCACACTGGGGATTCCCAGGTGTGCTCACTCCTCAGATACAGCAGCCACTCCAATTAACTTCTACTGACTGTTCCCAAGAGCAGCTGGTTATAATGTCTCCTAACTCGGCATTGATGTGCTTCATTATGCTTTATTTATGGTCAGAGATTCATTGTTAACTGTGCTTGAGAGATATTTTGAGCAATAGAAAGGAGCAATATTCAAAATACAATGGCTTGACTGAACTGCAGGTGCTTACTGCAAGTGGTCTGGATTTAATCATCAGTAACAGCGGCTGTGGAAGCCGCACTAGTGTGGGCCTGAAGGTCTTGGATTTAAACCTGCCTTGGGGTGGATTTCTTGTCTTTTCAGAAAGACCCTGGCTTCCAGGTTGACCAAGCAGTCTAAAATGGGTACCAGGCAATGTCATGGGAGATAATGGCAGCCTGTATGATGATTACTGACATGAATCAGAGCAGTATCGAGCTCATCGCTTGGCTCACATTGTCCAACAAGGTCTCATACATCTCTCACATTACATCAAACATCAGAAGTCATTCAGTTGGGTACTCCTAAGTGAACCCTTATCAAGATCATTACATAAATCACCTGTCCAACACCGATTCATCTATACAAATTTATGAGTCTAGCCTCATTGTCCGATGCGCCACTTGTTATTAAAGTTGTTTTATTTATTTATGGCTTGTGTCCGTTACCAGGCGTCTGAGGGAACAGCAATACTGTAAAGTACAACACTAGTAACCAAGGAAAATTAGTGCAAGACTGCACAGCTCAACCCACAGAAAACTGCTGCAAAATCTAACCAAACATGAATGAGTCCACATAAGGCTTTAACTGGCTTGGTTAAGGGCCTTTGCTTTATTGGAAGTTGAAAGCAGAAGAAGAAAGAAAAAAATGTGGAAGGATATTTGTTAGAAAAACGCTGGAGGTTATGGTGTAGAGCAGAGCTATTCAACTAAGTTTACTCAGGGGCTCAAATGATGAAAATGGGGACTGTCACATGCCATGGGCCCTAGCATAGAAAGATAGTTAATACAGTACTACTGGCAATGATTTGCGGGCCACCTGCCAGGCCTATGAGGGCCCACGAGCATTCAGTTGAATAGCCTTGGTAAAGAGGTTAAGACTTTCTATGGCCCCGGTATGTTCCTTCAGAGTGAAATTTTTCATGGTATGGGATAGATTCTGGCTCATAAATTGAGTACTATAATTCTAGAAGGATTACAGAAAGAAATATAAAAACAACCATATTTCCTATGAGTACAATGATACATCTTCATGTTCACCAGCTGTAAACTCTGGCAGAAAGTTCATCCACTTATGCAGTTTTGGAGGACTTAAGTGTTGTGAGGACTTCAGCTTTACTGATCCAGCTTTACTGTGTGCAGACTGTTGGTTCCTTGCCTCTCAGGCAGATGTACTCCAACTTTGAATGAAATGTCAATCCTACCCACACTGGTCAGCCTCTTGTTTGGAATTCTGTTACTATTCTGACTGCGGTCAAGATAGCTTTTGACTCTTGTTAGCCCTGGTCTCAGAGCACCACTTTATGTGGTTCAGCCCCTTTGTATCTAGCTACTACAGTTTCGGAAATTAGCGATCTTTTCGACAATTTCCGTTACCGTAGAAACCGTTTGAAACTTGTTTCGGAAATGTCGGCTGGGGTTTCGGGATGGGTCCTAATCTCTCATGAAATTTTGCCATTGGTGTGATTTTCACCCACTCTAAATAGCTGAAAACGGCGGGAAGGAACTCGATTAACAGCGCATGTCTACGACAGCCGGACATTCTCTGTTTTTCTGTTAGTCTATCAGTTTGATTGAAAATAGCGGTAAATTCGAGGTTGGTTTAGGCCTTAAACATTACCAGTTGTGGTAATGCTAGTTACAATTGAATTCTCCGTCCAATTTTACATTTGCATATAAAATTTCTTTCCCGTCTTTGGCTGTTTAGATTTACAGTGACATTTTTTAGGCAATTGCATGCGGCTGAGTGAGCTGAGTCTCACTGCCTGCCATCTTGTCCAATGACAGTCCAATGTCAACAAAGCCGATACAGAACTGCGCAGTAGGTTGCGCAGAGAAAAACTTCTTGTTTCTGGGTCACAAGTTTTAGCGGCTGTTTTTTACATCTCATCTCCATAAAAACCTACATATCTCAGCTCAGAAATGACATACAAGCCTAAATGAGGTACCATTGGAAAGAGATTGTTTACAGCTATCTAACTGTGCTTTTTTTTTTTGGTGTAGAGGGCATTTTAAAAATTTGACTGAAGTACCTATTGTATCCCTAGTTCCATTCAATCATGAAACATATCTGCTCAACCCTTTATCCTCATTACCCCAAATATTTTCATAGTAAGTCAGTTACTTTTATTTATATCACATAAGGGGACTTGTGACTCTGTGGGCTGACTAACTGTTAATAACACTCACCAACGAGAAGAACTGTGCCAACTGCCAGGCCACCACCTGAAAGCAGTAAATTCAAATTAGTGTCTTTGCTATTTATTTATATATATATATATGTTATATTTATATTGTTTAAAATATAGTAACTATTGGCTATCCTCCGAATAATGGTCCTTAATTATCGAACCGGAAAATATACTTTAACAGGGCCTCAGTCACGTGTCAATTGCGTACTTCAGGGGACTATTATAACGCCACCGCCGAATTGCGAACTTCCCGCAACTTTCGCCACTGCCGAGAGTTTCTCCCATGGCGCTAACGCGGCGTGGATTGGGGGTAAACTAGATGGCTAATACTCACAGGCAAAGAAAATAATGAAGGAAGCTGCAGGAGATGAGGTAGCTGCTGCTGATGAGTCCCAGCCATCTTGTTTAGCCCGCGGCGTGGGAGGATACTCTCGGCGGTGGCGGAAGTCGCCGGAAGCGCGCAATTTAATACAACGGAAGTGCGCAATTGGCACGTGACTGGGGCTCTGTTAGGGTATATTTTCCGCCTTGATAATTTAGGACCGTTATTCGGAGGATAGCCTATTTTATACTGCTACTGGCCTGCTAGCAGATCACGACAAATAAACAGAGAAAGCTCACCAATAACATGATCAAGCGACGGAATCCCTGTAGAAATGAGCAACTGGTTGTTGTATAATGAAGGCTTTGTCCCCAGTATCTGTCCAATTTTAACACGAGCCTTCTTGCGAAAACTTGTTGTACTCAAAGAAGACATGTTGCCTTTCACCGCAGACGATCCCGCGACAAATATACCAGGTATGCTCTCCCTTTTGTAACCAAAGTCTAAAATCCCGATCGGTTCTTATTTTTCGTTTGACTTAATCAGGTACTGACTTCACAATGAAGAATGTCTGCAATGGGTCTCCTACACGTGTTTTGTATTGCTAACACACTCTCTCTGACTGCAGTTTGCCCATCTTTTGATGACGTCCTCCCACTTTTGTCGTTGTCTACTTCTTGCCGCATCAATTAGTAGGTTTGCTGCAATATATCTCCAACACTCTCTTTCTCTTGTTTTTATAGAACACTCTCAGACTGCAATTACTTCTATATTTTGCCGAAAACAGATGATTTAGCAAAAATAGCACCAAGGGTTGGACTACAAATAAGTTATGAAAAGACATACTGTAGACACCAATAACAGATCGAGCATATTTAACAATGAAGACAGAAGTAATTAAAGAAACAGATCAATTTACTTGTTTAGGTAGTAATTTTGATAGTGTACTAAGTACAAAGAAAGAAGTTATGACACGCATGGGCAAGGCAACAGCAGCTTGAATAAAATATTGAACTCTAAATTATAAAGTTTTAAAACCAAGCCATGTATTTTCAGTTCTAATGTTACTTCAATTTTAACACATACAAGTGAAAGTTGGAGAGACCATTAAAGACATGGAACGAAAGTTAAATGCATTCAAAAACAAAAGTCTGGGGAAAATATGAAAATAAAATTAGATAAATTTAACAGGAGTGAAGAAATAAGAGAAATGTCTTCACAGACACTAGTTTCAACAGTCATAAGACAGAGAAGATGGCTCTACGTTGGACACGTCCTGGGAAGAAACCAGCAGTTAATCGCCAAAACATACATTAAAATGGGAAATAAATGGATTGAGGTGGCGAGGACGCTAAAAAATTGATGAGGGAGGCAAAAGATACTGAACTGGATTCTATCCATGATATCGGCCTGATTACACGTAATGGATATAATATATGAACTGCGAGCCAGATGTGGCACAACAGGGTAATTAATAAATGAGCAGTAATGTAAACAACAATGTCGTATTCAACCTATCCGGTTTATAATTGATATGTATCCGAATAAGGCAATGTATGTTCTTTGAGCAAGTCATGGTACATAGAAAACTAGATAAGGTCATAACAGGATGAGCATGCCACAGAAGATCAAGACGGGGTGTATATGGAAAGAATAGAACCATCTGATACAGCACGCAGCCTTTCGCGAAATCGCCTCCGTTTTTGTCCCAGGGTATGCTGGTGTGAAAGAGAGAAGATGACCTGACTGGCAGTGTGACTATCAGTAATGAGCCATCTCATCATCATGTAGCAGGTCCATTGCAGAACGTGGCTCTCATCAAAGTCTGCCTGAGAGAAACTCGGTCCCTCGCCAGTTCTCCCCCTTTTGCACCTCGAACCAATCAGATGTTTCACCAGCTGCTCTGATGGCTGCTTGTTGTTCATGATAGAGATGTTCAATTAACTGCACTAAATGCGCTGGAAACCCCATACTTTTCATAATAGTCCACAGTTGGTGGTGCTGGACACAATCAAATGCCTTGCTATAATCAATAAAACAAGCATGAAGATCTACATTGTATTCTCTGAATTTTTCAAAAATTATTCTCATGTTAAATATGTGATCCCTAGTTCCTCTACCCTGTCTGAAACCCGCTTGTGCTTCATCTAGTTCATACACAACTACCCTCACTTGCTCTGCCATCGTTCTCTTCCCCAGTTCACGTTTGTGATCTGCCTGGCCTGGGAGCCTCACCATCAGATCTTTGAGTTTCATTTTTGGCTTCCATGATGAGTTGGGATAGTAATGTGCTTTCCACATCCACATGGCTTTAGACCACGTCTTCAGCCTTCAGCAACCTTTTCGATTGCTAGGGCAAGTGAGTGCTCTGCTCTGTGATGCTCCTGCTAACAGCAGAGGCACCCCAGAGGTGTCCACTTATCCCGGCGGATACTCGGTCCCCATAGCTGCGTTGGCCACACCGCAGTGTGTTTACCGTCCTCTACCACGTGGAGGTGCAGTTGGGGTTTTCCCTTCACTGAGTCTTGAGACCAGAATGGCATTTCCCAAAACTCTCCAGTACTTTCAGAGGACATCTACTGACAGTATATACATTATTAGGTTAGTTGCGTATCCTCTACAGGACGTTGCAGAACCAACCCCAACAGCCCCTGGCTTTTGTGTGGTTTTTCTAGACAAATTTACGTCCAGTAGTTTGCCATTGCTTTCTGGACTGTCAGCTTTCTTGATACCACTGTCGAAACCAACGCAAGGCGCATGGCCCGCAGCTGGGATCGAACCCGGCATTCCGGCATTACGAAGCGTTCGCATCAACTTAGCCACAGAGCCGACAGTATATTTTAGACATAGATATATAGTATAGACATTCTCAATGCCATAATCGAGAGTCAACGCTGTGAGACTTTCAGTTTCGTGGGAAATGATTCTTCACTGAATAGACTGTATACCCTGGGAGTACCAGCGAAACATGAAAACCATGCAAGAGCCACCCGTTTTTAAATCAACCAGAACAGAGTAGGAGTTGTTAGCCTAAAAACACTCGGAGACACACTCAGAAGATTGGAGCAATTATGGTCAACTCCAACGTGCGATGAAGATGATCTGTAAGTGAACAATAACAGGGGAGCTAGATGTTACATCATGACACATATGACCGTCTATATAAGAAATGATCAGTGCTGTACGTGACAGAAATACGTGGGGCAGACATGACGACTAGCATCACTTGTTATAATTGAAGTAGTAATTTTTCAAAAATATCCTGTTCAACCCTCAGGTTTGTCTTTGGGATATATAGTGGTCATCGAGTTCCCAGAGTATATAATTGTTATTTTGTATTTATATATCGTGTAGTTATTTATATTATATAGATACGTAGTTTGTATTGTTTCAAATATTGCTATGATTAGCTTTATGATTATGATAAAACAAATTTCAGGACGAGTGTGGGAGTGAGACAGGGTTGCATACTATCCCCTGTCCTTTTCCATTTATATTTGGAACACATAGTGAGAGAAACCCTAGAAAATCATGAAACATCTATATCCACTGGCGGAAGACAACTGTGTAATTTTACGTTTTGCAGACGACATTGATCTCAAGGCTGGTTCCTAAACAAAACTCCAAGAAGTTACTATAAAATTAGAGACTGTGTCGTAAAAATGGCATGGAAATTAATGCCGAGAAAAGAAAGATTCTAGAGGGCGATGACAATGTCTGCATGATCCAAGGGCCGGCCATCTTCATTTAATGCAGCACCTGCCAGTCTATCAGCTCTTTCATTACCAACACCTGCATACCCAGCGTATATTTCGGCCATATTATGAAAAGAGGGAAAATAGAACATGTTGTGACCACTGGAAAGATATGTGGAAGGAGAGATAGAGAAAGACAACGAGAGAAGATGCTTGACAGTCTTGTTGCATGGCATGGAGGTGTGTCGGCACACGAATTGATACATGCTGCAGGAGATCGCAGATTATGGAGAGGCATGATCGCCCACGCCAGTCGGCAAGGCACCTGATGATGATGATGATGATGATGCATATCCTGGGACCTGCGGAAAAGGCAGTTTTAAAGATAGGGAAAGGAATAAATACGTTGAATGTGATGGCATCGGCGGATGACAGAAATGTTCTATACATTTTACTAGCAACTGATTATTTCAGTGTTGGAGTATAGTTGGCACTGATAAGATTATGTCATACCCAAATAGAGAAGTTGCAACGCATACAGAATGAAGTCATGCGAGTCATTTTGGGAGGTACACGAGACACGCCAGTTGTGTACATGCGGCACATACTCGCGCTACCATCCTTACATTAAAGATACAGGGTTTTACAGGCGAAACATTTATCTTTAAGTTGCAATGGACAGGGAATACTTTCTGCGTGAGGCCTTAGGATATAGCAAGAGATAACCGGATATGGCAAGAGATTATGGGATATAGCAAGAGATAACCGGATATGGCAAGAGATTATGGAATATAGCAAGAGATAACCGGATATAGCCAGAGATAACCGGATATAGCAAGAGATAACGGGGGAACCGAGGTGGCTCTTGGATGGCGCAGGCAGAAGTCACGATCAGAACTGTTTGTGCCACTGACAAGCTAACGTGGGGTGAAGAATGGGTTACAGTGCTGCCCAGCAAAACACACTTCCACAGAGTGATAGTTACCTTGGACCGAGGGTGCCGTGAATGGATAGCTGGTGAAACAGAGTCAGCGATGCAAGGGCTGATCAATGAAAATTTACGCCCAGGTGACATCATAATGATTACAGATTGGTCTGTAGTAAAGGAGCGGCTGCCCGAACAGTTAGAACACTTGACTTTCATGAGGGAGACCCGGGTTTGAATCCTCGGTAAAGCCACCAAAGACCCCCTGCCTACACCACAACAGTTCTATTTGAAAGCAGTACTTGGCAGTTTTATTTTTACGGCAGGTCTGTAGTGAGGGGTAAAAAGATTGAGTTGGGTTTTATTGCAAAGTTGAATGGACAATGCTATTGAAAACATAGAGCCCGGCTTACCGTGTCACTACATCCAGTATGAGAATGGAGGTGGAGGCAGTCTTCTGATGGCTTAAGAACAGCACAGCCAGACTTGTTTTGATTGTAACAGACTCACAGAGCATGCTTCAGAAACTTGAAACTAATATCCTGCCCGCAGAGTGGCTAGCATCACTTCATGAGCCGCAATCAAGAGCAAATTGATTTTCTGTCCAGGATATTCATGTGTGCGAGATAATGCGCAGGCTGATAGGCTGGCTGCTGCTACTCCTCTGGGCGGTGAGCTACTATAATGATAAAGCAGATGCGGGGAAGGCTCTATGCGATTAAATGGAGAGTGCACAAGAACAGATCTGGAATCCATACAACAAAAGACTAATTCAGCAGCAGGTGAGTAGAGATTCCGCAAGATATTCAACACTGAGGGGAAAAGAGAGGCGGACTTTTAACCAGGTTGCAGCTAGTACTATTAACATGTCCTCTCATCGCTGGTTACTGAAGAAGGAACACGTGTGGGAATGTTTTGAGTGCTGTGATGTCAGTTCTTGATTCATTCATTCTTTCATTCATTTCACTCCTTCTCTACTGATCTCTTGGTCTCTTATTCACTCTCTCCTTCTTTCAAAACCATCTCTCTTTTTCTCGTTCTCTCGCATTCTGTCTATCTTTCTATTCAGCCATTTGTCTTTTCATCAATTTTTCCATCGCATTCTCTCACTCCTTCTGTACTCAACTCTCCGTCTTTCTAATTTACTCTCTCTTTTTCTCAACACTATCTCTGCCATTTACCTTTCGCTCTCTCTGTCTCTCGCTCTCTGCTTATCACTCGTTCTCACTCTTTCTTTCAGTCTAAACTATTGAATTTGTAAAAAAAACCAGAAAGTTTAAATATTTGGTGGCCCTAAAAAGGGCCTTTGTCGGAACTAGATCAAAGACGTGATCTACGCGGAACGGCAAAATATTCTCCGAAAAAAATTTCCTCTCCTCCTATCAGCTGGTCTCTTGTCTTTTTCACTAGACTCACCAGTCCTTTTCGACCACCAGCGCATTACAGATCTGCGCTTCCTTGGAGGTGTTTCCACCTCAAGGGGTGTCTCGGACTCAGGTAAGTCCAGTGATCGATGGCTCAAATGTTTGAAATGAGCCATCGCACTCAAAAGTTGTAAAGGCGGTAGACCAGAGAAGAAGAAACTGAAGACCTTGGGCCTAGCTTCATGAGCGGCCTCTAAGACTTGCTGTTGCCACAGCTTTCTAAGAAACGCTCGGTCTGGTGTTTCTTCTTCCGGAGCTGGCTCGGACTGAGGAGGGTCCTCCATCTGGGTACAGACGTCTTGTGTCCCAGGACGGGTTATCATGTCTGTACAGACGTCCTTAGTTCCCGGGCGTTCTAGCATTTCGGTAGACACGTCTTGAGTCTGTGGACTGTTGCCCGTTTGAGTGGCGGTATCTTTAGACTCTTGACGGCCTTCCGTCTGCGTCGATGCCTCTTTGGACCATGGAGGGTCTCCCGTCTGCGTGGAGACGTCTCGGGACCCTTGTATAGTAAAAGGCCATTCCGCGTTTCCTTCAAGCATACTTTTCATTTCTGAAGACATTGAAGACTTTTTCAATAATTTATATCGCGCAGCGAATAAAGATAGCTGTGGGTGTATCCAACCTTGGATCTCAACACCCCGAAGAGTCTGAATCAGCGACTTGATTATAAGTTCAGTTGCGGACCTCCTAGAGCAGCCATTCTTCTATATATTCTTATTTGCAAGCTAACCGTAGACAATTATCGACACGCCATCCTATTCTATGCAACTCTTGCAGCACCATTGTCTTCTCGTGTTTATTATCCGGTGCCCCCCCCCCCCCACACCACCAACCCGGCCCCCAACAACATCCCTCCCCTCCCGTTTGTCTTAACGATCACTCAGACTTCAATGGTCGATAAAGTGGTGGATAACAACACCGGCCGTCTTTACTTCCCAGGTTATTTTCCTATACCATTGTATGTTGAGTCGATCTGGCACACCTGTGACTTCTTCTTCTTCTTCTCCTCCTCCTCTTCCTCCTGCTCCTTCTCCTTTTTCTTCTCCTCTGTCTTCTCCTCCTAACCCCCCCCCCCACCCCCGCACCCCCCGTTTCCCCTCTTTCAGCATGCATGAATTACTGTGTTTATTCCATGTATGAATTGCTATCTTTATCGCACGTATGAATTGCTACCTTTACTTCTTCTTCTTCTTCACTTCCTCTTTTACCGCTGTGGGTGTCGAGGGAGATATAAGGCTCTGTTTCTGGCTCTTCTGGCCGCCCCGACCATAGGCACATCGTGCTGTTGTAGAGCTTCTCTGATGTTATCCTTCCATATGGTTCTTGGTCTACCTCTTGCTCTACGACCTTTTTCTCTTTACTGCACGTATAAATTGCTATCTTTATCGCACGTATGAATTGCTATCTTTATCGCACGTATAAATTGCTCTTTTAACCGCACGTATGAATTGATATCTTTATCGCAGATATGAATTGCTATTTTTACCTATCGTATAAATTGCTTTATTTACCGTAAGTATTAGTAAATAGTCATAATAATCAAGTACCTACCAACAAACAGATTTAAAAACAAAGGGGGTAGGGGGGAGTTGAAGCCTTTAAATATCTTGGCTTCCCATATGCAACTGGACGAAAGAGATCAAGATTAGACTAGATATGTCAACAGCCGCGATGTCGCAGCTGAAAACTACGTGGAAGAGCAAAATCAGCATCGCAGCCAAGGTAAATTTTTACAAATCACTGGTATTGTCTAATTTCAAGTACAGATGTGAGAGTTGGACTCTCACTGTAGAAATAGAAAGGAGGATTCAGGCTTTGGAATGTAAATTCTATTGACGCATTTTACGAATTAGTTATTTAGAACACAAAACTAAGGAATATGCTAGAGACAACATATATAATTTTGCGGGACATCAAGAGCCTTTCTTGGCAGTGGTTGATTTGATTTGATTTGATTTAAGAACCGACCACACAGCACTCGGGGCATTCCCATAAGCGCTCTGTCCCCATCTTCAGCAGCCAGCGAAGAGTTACGATACTAATGGTGCCAGTAGCTTTCTGATTAAACGTCCGTCTTGCCTTTTCTCTGAGCCTCGAGCTTCTGTCAGAACCTCTCGTCACCCCCAACTGCATCAATCTCACCAGACTGTGGTGATCCATCTGCTCCTCTGAATTGTACACGCTCTCCCACAAGGCACTAACACGTCTGCCCTATCATGTAGCAGTATTCCACTAAGTTGTGCAGAGCCAGCCAGTCTGTCCGCCTGTTCATTTCCCAACACACCGGCGTGACCCGGTGAAAAAATCCAGACAATTCTTCTCACTTGTGTCCTCCGCGGCGAAGCATGCAACTCTGCACGAAGCATACCTGTTCTGATCTTCCTCAGCACGCATTCCGAATCAGTTACAATTACGATGTGTGTGTGTGTGTGTGTGTGTGTGTGTGTCGTGTTCTCTAGTCAGCGGAAAGCTGCAGTGACCGCCTCCAACTCCATTCTTAAGCTGGATGTTGTGGTATCATATGCTAGGCTCTCCTGTACCAAACGTCGGCCATTAACTTTAGCTAAAAAGCCCCAAGCATTAGCAGTGGTGAAACGTCGAAACTAGCTTGGTTTGGCCACGTGGTGAGATATGATTCGATTGCAAAGACTGTACTTCAAGGAACATGGCGGGGGGGGGGGGGGGGGGGGGGGGGGGGGGGGGGGGTTTTCAAAGAAGGTTAGGGCAAAGAAGAACCTGAAATGACGACGTCAAGAAATGGAAGGACTAAGTTATTATACACTAACTTCGTTCAGTTAATGTAGAATTTTTGATGGTACACGCTGGAAAAAAAAAAGAAAAAAAAAAAAAAAAAAAACAGAAAGAAAGAAAGAAAAAAAAAAGAAAAAAAAAGGAAAAAAGAGTTATCATACACTTATTCATCAAACGGAAGACAGAGAAAGATGGCAGGTTTGGGTGCTAGTGCTTCCATCCATGCACCTCCACGACCCTAATGGGTCAAGGGTTAGTTAGTTAGTTAGTTAGTTAGTTAGTTAGTTAGTTAGTTAGTTAGTTAGTTAGTTAGTTAGCTAGTTAGTTAGTTAGTTAGTTAGTTAGTTAGTTAGTTAGTTAGTTAGTTAGTTAGCTAGCTAGCTAGTTAGTTAGTTAGTTAGTTAGTTAGTTAGTTAGTTAGTTAGTTAGTTAGTTAGTTAGTTAGTTAGTTAGTTAGTTAGTTAGTAAGTTAGTTAGTTTATTTAGTTAGCTAGCTAGCTAGTTAGTTAGTTAGTTAGTTAGTTAGTTAGTTAGTTAGTTAGTTAGTTAGTTAGTTAGTTAGCTAGCTAGTTAGCTAGTTAGTTAGTTAGTTAGTTAGTTAGTTAGTTAGTTAGTTAGTTAGTTAGTTAGTTAGTTAGTTAGTTAGTTAGTTAGCTGGGTTATCATCACTGCACTCCGGACATGTCCATAGGTGCTCAGATCCTCCCCTCAGTATGAACCCCAACGTCCGATGGCTAATAGTACCAGTTCTATGTTGATTAAGAAGGGTCAAGGGCTATCTTATGTTATGTATGAAACAATTGTACTATTAATAATTAGACAATCTTACTGACATTGCGTCATTAACATGGTGGATTTATTATTTCCTTAGCATAATAGTTCATTTATGCTCGTCGATTTTATCTTTAGGGAAATTTTTCTTTAATGATAGCATGGGCATTCCAAACTCTTCTATAGTCCTACATGAATTGTTGTTTTTGTTTCTGCAGCAGTGTGCATGGAATTGCACAGGAACATAACGTGATATTCCAAGCGGTGTACAACACGATGTGCCCACATTTGAACGGCCATAGAGCTGGTTCTACGTGTAGCTAAAACAAATACATTGTTTTAATCCCGCATTGCTCTAAGCCGGCTGCTCGTCACATGGGCAACGTTGTCTGAAATTCTGTGAGCTTTTCCCTCTTCGTCGTCTCTTGTTGTCTTTACACGTATAAGTAAATGCAAAATATGTGAAGTAAAACTCCCTGAACCAGCTCTAAATGTGTATGTACCTGTGTTGCCTCTCTTTGTTTACCATACCTTGCCTGTTTGTGCAAGATGGTTAGTTGCAAAGAGGTAAATTTGCACTATCAAAATAATGGCTGCTTCTGTAAAATTAAGCGCCCTAAAAAATCTTTATGAAGCTGGATGAGGCGTTAACGATGAGAAACTCTAAAGTAGTATACACAGTGTAGGTTGGTCGAGTGTATGTAAATTAATACATACAAAATAACCTGGTGCTTTATCGATTTTGTTACGTACTACAAACTCGTTAAACAATGGATGGGAAACAATATTCCTCACGTTTGAATGCTATTGGCACTAATGTAGAGCGAACGAGACAGTATGCAGACAGGCTAAAGGACAATCCGTTTATCTTCAGGGATTCTTCTGTTGACCCTGTGAATACTGGGACAACGGATAAAGTTAACCGGTTTATCTCACCAAGATACATGGCAATGGAGAAACAGTCACTGGTCACGTCAGAGCAGATGACACCAAGCGAATTTGAAATGCAATATATGGAGCAAAGTGAACGGATGGAAAAGAAACTGCAACAGTCTATGATGCTTTTAAACCACAAGCAGCAGATGCAACAAAAGATTTTGCTAATGCAGCAGCAACAAATACAGCAGCAACGGCAGGTTCAGCTCCAACACCAAAATCAACAACTGCAGCAGCCGCAGTTGATAGTTCAGCAGCGGATGTTGCGACAACGGTCACCAGAAAAACAAAGGCAAGACTCGAACGTTGACAGTCAGGTAGGACACCAGAAACTAGAACACAATCACACTGAAGACCTGCAGAAAACGCAGTGCCCGGAATTCTCTGACAGTAGTATCTCTGTGCAAGATCTGTTCGCTCAATGCCAGAGTCACCTGGATGTTATCAATGCCTGCACAGACTTGCAGCAGACGATCAAAGATGAAATGAAAAAACAGGCCAAGGTAAGATATTGCAGAGACTATTCAAACTTAGTCCACGCCGAATGGCGATGGTAATCTCAAATATACACAACCTTCTGTTGTGTCGATTGTCAGTGATTTCTGAAAAGGTGTTTTTTTTTTCATGCAATAGTGGTAAATTATCGAGCATCTTCTCACTGGCCTCCTTCTGTCTTTCTCCTCATCCATCTTTCCTGTTGATATGACGTAAAAGGCTATCATGTACCAATCGTTTTCCTCGGGTACTTACGACTATGACACTTCCCTTGTCTCTTTCATCAGATGTTTTAATAAAGTTCTTTTTCTTCTTCACTTCTTCTTTGTCGAGCGAGGTATACGGTTCTGCTTGTTGATTTTCTAGCGGCTTCGACCATAGACATATATGCTTTTACAGAGTTTCTCTTGTGTTATCTTTCCATTATGTCCTTGGTCTACCTTGTGCTCTATGTCCTCCTTTTTTTTTTTTTTTTTTTTTTGTTGTTGCTGGTTTTCTTTTAATGCCTTATATGTTATGTACAAGGTATTTTTTTAAAGTGGGCACAGTTATTTGAACTGTCGAGTTTTTCTTTTATGGCCTCATTCCTGATTTTATCTCTCCTGATCACTCTTGCAGCCTTTCTCATTTCCATGGTTACCAAATGTCTTTTCTGGTTGGTTGTAAGTGGCCATGTCTGTCACTGGTAGCATAGGGCTGGAATAAATATGCTTTGTATGAGATGTTTCTTTATTTTAAGGAATTGATGTTGCTTGAATTATTATCGATTCCTCAAAAGTTTAAATTTTTAACATACATCTTTCTCATTTCCTTCGTTTGACAGGTATGTCCCCAATAAAATGATCAATGCATACAATTAATTAACAATTATCAATAGTACAGTGTGATTAATCCCAACCTGACTTTGTCGTATCTGTAACCCTTTCTTTCTTTCTTTTTTCTTTCTTTCTTTCTTTCTTTCTTTCTTTCTTTCTTTCTTTCTTTCTCTCTTTCTTCCTTCCGTTCTTTCTTTCTTTCTTTCTTTCTTTCTTTCTTTCTTTCTTTCTTTCTTTCTTTCTTTCTTTCTTTCTTTCTTTCTTTCTTTCTTTCTTTCTTTCTTTCTTTCTTTCTTTCTTTCTTTCTTTCTTTCTTTCTTTCTTTCTTTCTTTCTTTCTTTCTTTCTTTCTTTCTTTCTTTCTTTCTTTCTTTCTTTCTTTCTTTCTTTCTTTCTTTCTTTCTTTCTTTCTTAGTTAGTTAGTTAGTTTATGTCTGTCTGTCTGTCTGTCTGTCTGTCTGACTGTCTGTCTGTCTGACTGTCTGTCTGTCTGTCTGTCTGTCTGTCTGTCTGTCTGTCTGTCTGTCTGTCTGTCTGTCTGTCTGTCTGTCTGTCTGTCTGTCTGTCTGTCTGTCTGTCTGTCTGTCTGTCTGTCTGTCTGTCTGTCTGTCTGTCTGTCTGTCTGTCTGTCTGTCTGTCTGTCTGTCTGTCTGTCTGTCTGTCTGTCTGTCTGTCTGTCTGTCTGTCTGTCTGTCTGTCTGTCTGTCTGTCTGCCTGCCTGCCTGTCTGTCTGTCTGCCTGTCTGTCTGTCTGTCTGTCTGTCTGTCTGTCTGTCTGTCTGTCTGTCTGTCTGTCTGTCTGTCTGTCTGTCTGTCTGTCTGTCTGTCTTCAAACGCTCACAAGTGTTTACGTTTTTCATGAATGTTTATGTGCATGAATGCAAGACATGTGCCTGTATGCATGACTGTCGGTAGCTGGACAACATCATCTGCCAGAAGCTGGTGTCCAAGGCACAACGTTTGCAGCAACAGGCCACTTTCCTGGAGAAGGCTCATGCACCCGGCTGGGTGGGGCCGGCTCTCCTGGATCTGGGGTCGCAAGTCACTCAGCAAGCAGAGGTCCACCACATCTATACAGCAACTCTGATCGAGCAATGCGTCGTCATCCAGGTATGTTATCCCCACACTCCCACTAAAAGATGATTTGTCCTAAAAACTAAAAGGGGAATTAGTAAATTAATCAATCAATCAGGTGCAGTCTTCACCTTAAGGTTTGGCTGCAAGAGATCGTCGACACGCTCTATCTCTTGACCCGGTTGTAACAGACTGCCGTTTTCCCATCTCTTGTCCTGGTTATACAGTCGCTCAGATTGCCGTTCATTCAATCTTGTCCTGGTTGTAAACTCTCTCAGACTGCCTTTCGTTCATCTCTTGACCTGGTTGTAAACTCTCTCAGACTGCCGTTCGTTCATCTCTTGTCCTGGTTGTAAACTCTCTCAGACTGCTGTTCGTTTATCTCTTGTCCTGGTTGTAAACTCTCTCAGACTGCCGTTCGTTTATATCTTGACCTGGTTGTAAACGCTCAGACTGCCGTTCGTTCATTTCTTGTCCTGGTTGTACTCTCTCTCAGACTGCCGTCCGTTCATCTCTTGACCATGTTGTACTCTCTCTCAGACTGCCGTTCGTTCATCTCATGTCCTGGTTGTAAACTCTCTCAGACTGCCGTTCGTACATCTCTTGTCCTGGTTATAAACTCTCTCAGACTGCTGTTCGTTCATCTCTTGTCCTGGTTGTAAACTCTCTCAGACTGCCGTTCGTTTATATCTTGTCCTGGTTGTAAACTCTCTCAGACTGCTGTTCGTTCATCTCTTGACCTGGTTGTAAACTCTCTCAGACTGCCGTTCGTTTATCTCTTGTCCTGGTTGTAAACTCTCTCAGACTGCCGTTCGTACATCTCTTGTCCTGGTTATAAACTCTCTCGGACCGCTGTTCGTTCATCTCTTGACCTGGTTGTACTCTCTCTCAGACTACCATTCGTTCATCTCTTGACCTGGCTGTACTCTCTCAGACTGTTTGTTCGTTCATCTCTTGTCCTGGTTGTACTCTCTCTCAGACTGCCGTTCGTTCATCTCTTGACCTGGTTGTAAACTCTCAGATTGCCGTTCGTTCATCTCTTGACCTGGTTGTAAACTCTCAGACTGCCGTTCGTTCATTTCATGACCTGGTTGTACTCTCTCTCTCTCTCTCTCTCTCTCTCTCTCTCTCTCTCTCTCTCTCTCTCTCTCTCTCTCTCTCAGACTGCCGTTCGTTCATCTCTTAACCTGGTTGTACTCTCTCTCAGACTGCCGTTCGTTCATCTCTTGACCTGATTGTACTCTCTCTCAGACTACCGTTCGTTCATCTCTTGACCTGGTTGTACTCTCTCTCGGACCGCTGTTCGTTCATCTCTTGACCTGGTTGTACTCTCTCTCAGACTACCATTCGTTCATCTCTTGACCTGGCTGTACTCTCTCAGACTGTTTGTTCGTTCATCTCTTGTCCTGGTTGTAAACTTTCGCAGACTGTCGTTCCCCCATCTCTTGTCCCTAGTATTATTTTTAAATATCCAGAAACCATGAGTTGTAAACCCTTTGCCTCGGTAGTATGGATACCGCAACCCTTCGGCCTTGATTCCACGATAGGTACCGAAAATCTGGGAGAAATGTCCTGGTTGTAAACTTTCGCAGACTGCCGTTCGGCTGTCTTTTGTTTCTTAATGTGCTAACATATTTCGTATCTTTTCTTTATTTATTTAAGTAATTTTTTTTTCATTAGTAGTATTTCCAGAACCTTGTTATTTTATTATTGTTGCCATCATGAAATCGACCTATTTTTCTGTATATCCACATATTCACGGACTCAGATTTTCTAGTTGCTGGTCATTGTCCGACTTTTTACATCATACAGCTGTGTTGAGTATATATAACATTTGACAAGTTTCACTGTGATGTATTGTTTATCTCTCTAAACAAAACAAGACAAAAAGTAAAGCACAATGTTCACTGACATCGGCCATCTGTGCTAATTCCTTCGTTTACTAACTTGGTCATGCAATAAACCCCGTATGTATACCATATACCAGTGGTCGGTAAACTCTTTAGCCAAAAGAGCCAAAAATCAGCAGCAGGGCGACAAAACAGTTTTTTTAGAACAAAATTTATTTTCAAGGACCGGTCAAGAACCATGTTTTTCGGAGTCAAACCCGATTTATTGCCGACAGACCAAGCCACACTCAGGTCACTAAAGAGCCGCATACGGATCCCGAGCCGCGATTTACCAACCAATGCCTTGTCTGGTAGTCTGGTAGTCTTAGTTTCAGCTTAATAGCAACGGGTCGCCCCATCTTTGCTCCGCTCCTGTGCCAACGAAAAACACCCAGAATGTTTATCACAGTCCCTTGTGGAAAGACTGACAGACTGCTGTCTCAGCATATCTAGCATACACTCGCATTAAAGAATACGGTAGCCATCCGAAGTGCTAACACAAACAGTCCAACATTAGAAATGCAGTTCATCATTGATGATAGCAGAACTTGTCGCCAACAGTTCAGCAGTTATCCACGCGATCAATTTTAACCAGATACGGGCACCGCCAACATTGCACGCCATTTTCTGAATCTACAATTCACACCACCACGTTGGTCACAGTCGAAAATACATTCCAAATGCAATCCGCAGCTCACAGGGTCACGCCATGCATTCAGCTCAGAAGCTGGGCGACGAAACTATATCCAGTCTACAAATGGAGCAAAAATACTTCGGCCACCGTCCGGCAGAAGCAAAAAAATTTGCCTCTGCTTCGAACAGGGCCGCTGTCTAG